AAATCTATACCTATAAAAGCGAAAGGTCACTGACTGACTCCCTCACTCATTACGAAATTTCAGAAACTACAAGTGCTAGGAGTCTCAAATTTTGTAAAGGGGTTCCTTTTAAAACGTAGGTGCTCACTAAGACGGGATTTTTCAACCCATAGGGGCTGAATTTTACCTCCATAGGGAGGTAAAACAAGATCAATGCGCACGAAGTCGCGGGCGCCCGCTAGTTGTATAATACAAAACTATTTAATGAAAAATTTAACGGTTAAATATATGTAATAAGAAATAAATAAAATAACTAAATATAACTCTCCTTAACTTCACTTCGCGTGATCAAAATAACAGCGTAACAAAATAGAAAGAGATTGGCAATTTGTGAATGTGGCTATCTAGCATTTATGGCTACATTGTTAAGACTCATCATTATGTTTTAAAATACATTAAAACGTCTATCATTATTTCTTCAGTCAATTTTGTACTGGAGTTAATACCGGATGTAACATTGTAACAGACATTTTTTGGAAAATATTACCTATTTTTAACGACATAAAAAACCACGGCGATTAGCTCAGTAATACGAGAATGATAAATACACCTTCGGGGCCAATGTTTTAAACGACAACATATAAAATAATAGGATAGAATACTTTTTTTTTGACAGAAAGGTATACCAGTAAGCAAGACATATAATTAGTGAGAGCAGAGTAAGATAAATAAATAAGTGAACAGGCAACTGCTTGTATATAAGAATACATATTATGAAAACTGTAAAAATATTTCTGTAGAATAATAAGTTTCTCTCAGCTACACAGTTGGCTGGTTATATGGACTATCCATATAAAAGGAATGTTGAAATATTTTTGACTAACAGATTCCAATACCACTGGAAATAAATATTAGTGCCATGACAATAACTTAAAGATACGTTATCTAGTTGAGTTACCTGTTAAGTATTTTATAATAAGGTACTTCATCATCATTTCAGCCACAGGACGTCCACTGCTGAACATAGGCCTCCCCTTCAATGACTTCCACATCGCACGGTTGGTAGCGGCCTGCATTAAGCGCCTTTCTGCTACCTTTATCAGGTCGTCGGTCCAGCTTGGACGTCCCACGCTGCGTTTTCGGGTACGCGGCCTCCATTCCAGAACCTTGCTGCCCCATCGGCCGTCAGTTCTGCGTACTATGTGCCCTGCCCAGTGCCCACTGCCACTGCAGCTTGCTAATCCGATTTAAATAAATAGGTATCACTCAAGACCCATTTATAATTGCATAACACATACCCGAACGTCCTTCAGATACGTGAACTAAGCAAAATTGCAAAAAAAAACAGTTTAAAAATATTAAATGACCAGCTTTACACCGCGTCTTCGCCCATGTAAAAGCTTGTCACACAAATACCAACTTATTTGGCCAATTCACTTACTATCCTTATACATTATAGCCTAGTTATTTCGTTTCTAAAATTTCATCAAAATCCGTCATTTAATATTTGCGTTAAAGAGTAACAAACGTCCATCCGCTCTCACAAACTTTTACATTTATAATATTAGTTGGAAAATTTTATACGCGTAACTACACCGACCTAGTTATTAAATATCAATGAGTTGACAATAGGAAGCCCCATTCATAAAACATGTGTCTGCGCACTTCTTACTACGTTTGTAATAACTCGTCCAATCTGCATTATAACTGGAATTCCTACGAAAGGCTATCGTAATACAATCACGTGTCAATGTGTCGATTTAGATATATTTAATGAGAGCAATAGTGGTACGACTCGAACACAATATTGCTGCTACAGCGATTATAAAGACAGAACGATTTGTTTTCTTTCTCGGTATGATAATTGTGCAAGTTTTTGAATGTGTAATCATTAGCAAGTCTTCTTGGAAACTTAGTTTATTTATAAGGAATAAAGAGAGACCCAATAATGTGCCCTTGGGAACACCTGTTTAATATCAGTCACTTCGATATACCCATGTCACGCCTTTAAGAGGTACATACAAAAAAAAGCTTAATTCATACTAAACATGAAGCACTCATGTTCAACAAGGTAGTTTATTAACATAATTATGCTACTCGTAAAGAAAAAAGGCGCAATTTTTTCGTCAATTAGCAATATTTTAAAGTGTCAATAGCCCGATTCCGGAATACACTTCAAAGGCAGTTTAAATGTCAGACATTAAGGCTAAATATTAAATTCAAAGTTGTTAAAAATTGTCGGTCTAGTATAGTAGTTCAAGAATAGGCTAGATAAATGATTTTACAAACGGTTTTAGGAGGATCATTTTGTTTTCAGCGATAAGACAAGACTAAATGATTGTCTGCTTATAATAGAATTAAGTCTATTGAACGATAAGTAGAAATATCTCAATCAGTTAAAATTGTATTTCATTATCTATCACAGATATTTTATAATGATATTTAAGTTATGGATTTTCCGATATAATATTTTGGTTTAAGTTTTTGTGATAAGCCGAAAACAGAGGCCTGAGAAAATAGGGCCTGTTAGGGAGACCTATGTCTACTGGAATGATAATTAATGTTTTGTGAGAAGTATGACGTAGGTGGGAGGAATGTGCCAGTTATGTGCACAGTCGAATTTGAACACCTGTAAAAATAATCGTAAAAATTCCTGACTAAATCAAATAACAAGACAATATGCCCAAAACGATTGAAGTGTTAAAATTTAAAATAAACATTAAAAATGTAGATAATGACATACAAGAAAATAATGATAAGAATCACACTAGTGATAACCAAGAGTTTCAAAATACAGTGAACATTTAGCAAAACGAACACCTTACTTTTTGCAGTCACTCAAATGATCTATCAAATTGACCTCAAGGTTTTCACCGTGAACTCGCGTCCAACGAACTCGATGCAGCAACCTTGCATAGATACGTTTGGCCTAGAGATGAATTGCTTAATAGTGCAGTGGGTACGGGTTCAGTGCTCTGTAAATCAACAAGTCAAATTGGTTATGTAATTTGAAGGTAATATTGAAGACACACCTTAAAAACCTGTGACCGAGAAAATAAAAGAAGTCAAACCAAAATACGCAAAAAATGACACCTAATATTACTAAAATAAGATCGTAAGGACAACTTGTTTCAATGTTACCATTATATTTCTTATATTTTTTTGTTTTCATTATGTAAGTTTATTTTTATTTATTTCCCACTGCCAGCTAGCGTCTTCGTTAATCTGTGTCAGAATACTCAGAAACTGGTTCAGCTATTTTGGCAGCGTGGAATTCGATTTGTCATAGTTTTTGACTAATTTCCTAGAAATTGTCAGTTACTAGACAACAATTACTTTTATGTGATGTACAATATTGAAGCAATAATTTCAAGCCTGTATGTCACTGGACATACTTTTAATCTTTAAGGACTAGAATTCATCCAGCCTCACCCTTAGGGATGGGTTTAAACGCCAATGATCCATATCCGTGATCTATACTATACTTTTAACGATACGACACATCTCTGAAGTCATCAGATCAACTGGTCTGAGGAGCTGTAGGTACATAGAGTGTATATTAAATTAAAAGAGATTACAATACATGCTGAGCTACACTATCGGGAAGCTGATAAGAAAGATCTCCGTGCTTTGGAGGACAGGTTAGGCACGTCAGTCCGATTGAGTGATATCAGATGATTGGACTCAAGAAGTTTGACATTAGTTTTCCTGTCCATTATGTTATAGAAGATAACAGAAGGACTACATAGTTTGTCTGAAGAAAGAAGAAGAGTGCCTGTTAGAGGTACTAGAGATCTTCTGGTCCAAATGATAAAGTAGGTTAACAGAAGAGCTAGCATGGCTGATGACAGAAGAAGTAATATAACAATCCCTCTATAAATGTCTATGGTACCAATGGTCTTGACTTGATTGATGGGCACTTCCCATATAATATGAAGGACATAGTCTTCCAGCAGTTTTAAGGCGCAGTTTCAAATAGATAAGTACCTATTCTTAGAATAGATACTGGACCATGTTTTACTGGATACCAACATGGCAGAGAGTATAGACGATAAATCTCCCGATCTTTCGTGTGTCTACGCAGGTTGCAACCCACACTAGTGGCCGTCCCATCTTCCATGGAACCAAATTCAAACCACCAAGTCTCTTGCCATCACTTCGAACCAGGCCAGGTTCAAGAATGGTCAGTACGGAAGCGCTAGCAAGAGCCCTGCGTATGAAGTCATTGAGGCTGGCGTGACGGGAGTAGCCCGGCACTTCTGCTGCATGACAGTTCGTGATGGCCAAGGGAGTCAACCACGTCACCGCAGTTTAGTCTTTATTGATATCAAGAAAAAAATTGGCATTGAGGGGAATCCCCTGAATAGGAAACATCAAGATTTTGAAATCACCATGATTATTACCATATATTTTTATTGGGGTCCAGTGGCTTTGAAGATAACTCTTTATAGTAAGGCGATGCGATGGTTATCAAATTGATCGAATTACGCATTACCCAATACGACGCGTTGTTACGTGAGACATTACAAACTGAGGTTTACCCCCATGTTCTGTTAATATTCATTTTGTGTGAGAAACGAATATTATTATACCGATCTATCTAAAGAATCCTCCTGCTTTTCATAAAAATAGCTGTATTACTTACGTTTTCTTAGAAATTTTCTAGCAAATTTTTCGCTATAATGAAGAGACAAAAAAAACTGAGTTTAGTATTCAATCAGTAGATAGTACTGTTAATTTTTCTGATTTTCTAGTAAAAAGTGAAAAGTTTTTGAAACGCACGAGTCTAGTTGTAAAATTATGTTGTACTTATATTCTTACTTATTATACCATAACCAAGTGAATATATTCCATTGATACACTAATTACGTCTTATAATAATTCAATGAATCTCATTTCAAACACGTGGTAACATAATTCACCGACAGACCTTATGACCATACGCATAAGGTTCACATTCCCAACGGAAGCAATTTGCCATAACCGTGCTTAATTCTAGTGCAATAAATAATATCACTTACCGTAATCACTCGAAATCGTTCACTGTTACTTTATAGCAAAATACATATAATATTGTATGCTATGAAACACATTTAACATTTTGCAAAATCAAAAACCGGTTTTGTCTCACTCACACTCGTCGCATTAGAAAAGAACACAGTGTAATAGGGATGTTTGTAGCGTCCGTTTTTCTTATCGATAAACGTTTGATCGTACGTCTATTTTTCGCGAGGGCACGGTGTGGAATGGCGATTTCTAGGTAACTTTATCAGTGGTCGCAAGACTGTTGTGTCCACAACGTAGTGATGTGCTAGGTATCGATTTTAATGATCGAGCGTTTCTCGTAGAAATCGCGTGATGTGCCGGTCATTGAACTGTTTCTAGATGACTGCGCAAATGTAATGTCAAATTGTGTATAAAAAATTGTAAGTAGTGTAAGTATTTTAAAACGAATCTAGTTTTAATTGATTATTACAATCAAATTATTTTATTAGGAGATAACGCAATAATTTAGAAAAACAAATTAAGTCGTGATAAGTTAAGATGTGTTTAATTAATTATTTAGGTAAAATGTGGTATAGACAATTAGGTATTTTAGGCAATCTTCAACATTTGTAAATAATTTTCTTCTGCCTTGTTTTTCGAGAAAATTATGCCAACATTCAATTTGAACCACTCAGTGAAGAAGGTAATATTTATAGCTGTATTTTGGTCCATAAAAATATAATATTTATTTTCAATCGAATTTATTTGCTAAAACCCTAAATAACATTTCAGATTACCTTTGATCGTGAACGATAAATAAATTATTAGTAGAGGAAAATTTATTTGTAACTAGGAGTAGAAATACGATTCCAAATAAACTTATAAAAAGAACGAAATAAAATATGTGATTCCGAGAAATTTTCCACAAATAGGTAAATCATATTATCTATACTAATATTATAAATGCGAAAGTAGCTCTGTCTGTCTGTCTTGCTTTCATGCCTAAACCACTGAACCGATTTTGATGAAATTTGGCATAGAGATAGTTTGAGTCCCGAGAAAGGACATAGGATAGTTTTTATCCCGGTTTTTAAAACAGGGACGCGCGCGTTAATGTTTTTCTGTGACAGACAAAATTCCACGGGGGCGAAGCCGCGGGCGGAATTAAGTAAAAAAATATTTCATGGTATTCAAAATAAATCGAAAATCTTAATCTTGCCAATTTCACATACCTAGTAAGAGTCAAGATCAATCAACATGCAAATCATTGGGGGAGGCCTATGTTCAGCAGTGGACGTCCTATGGCTGAAATGATGATGACGACGAAGAGTCAAGATAAATAAATAAAACATTTATTCGCTATAATCTTCAAGTTACAAATTAGGTGTGTTGGGTTAAGATAATAACTAACTAACCCTAACTAACTAATCTAACAAAAACATAAAGCAAGATGTATAAAGAAGTTCTATTCATGTAATTCACCTAAAATTGGATTTCTATTCCTTTCTCAAGAAAACCGCAGGTAAAGCCTTCCCACTAGGTGGACCGACGATTGGGAAGTACCTGGTTGAGGGCAGCGCAGGACCGGTCGTTGTGGAAACACTTGACGAGGCCTTTGTCCAGCAGTGGACGTCATTTTGGCTGAAACGAACTCGAGGAAACCCAACTAACTTCAAGACTGTTGACACAAACATTACTATGAGGTCTCACAGTGCGCATGGACGCACAGGGTGACACAGGAACCAATCACAGAGCTCTATTCAACGCTGTGCGTTCGATTTGCTGATTCACTTAAGCAAGCATCGTTTGTGAATAAAGGCGTAAGTGTCATTTGGTGTAGTGGTTCGTAACGGACTCCTATGCCAGAGGTCTCGGGTTCGATTGCCGCTCAGTACGAACATTTATTTGCATGAACATTATTGTTTGTATTGGACTGGGTGTTTTCTATGTATAAAATATTTAGGTATGTATTTAAAAAAAAAACAAGTATTTATACGTTTTTAGCGCTTGTCTAGTACCCATAGCACAAGCTTTGTTTAGTTTTGGGACTAGAGGCGCAGTGTAAAATGTTTTTTTTTATCCATAACGAGGAAGCTCTTGGCCTGTATCTCACCTGATGGTAAGTGACGATCAGGCTGAAGGTGGAAGCGAGCTTCACCCGGAATCCTCAACCACGGAGGAACTGGCCATCTTACCTCTAACTGCCGGAACACAATAATGCTGTTAACATTGTTGTTATGGCGACAAACTTAGGTAAGATGGTGGTAGCTAGCCAGACGGACATAGAACAAGCCCTACCACCAACCAAACCGAACAGAAAAATCTGCCACCACTGGGAATCGAACCCGGGACCTCTGTGTCTGAAGCAGGTGGTCTTACCACTAGAACATAGAGGCGGTTAAGTCCAAGGATATTTATTTATTATCTACAATTTCCATTAAGTGTCCGCGTACAGTATATTCAAGAATGACATCTGACGCGTCGCGGAAGATATTTCCCACATAAACTATTGTCCTAATTATGATGATCAGTCATAAGGTAAATGATTATTACCGGTTATTACCCACTCAGTTCAGTGTCACTGTCAAGACGATAAACTTTGACATTTCCTATTTAATGAAAACTGAACTGTATAAACTATGATGAATGAATTTTCAAATCAATACTAGAAGTTATGCAATGTACGATAACTAAATAATAATCTGTACTAATATTATAAAGCTGATGAGTTTGTTTGTTTACTTGAACGCGGTAATCTCCGGAACTACTGGTCCGATTTGAAAAATTCTTTCAGTGTTAGATAGCCCATTTATCGAGGAAGGCTATAAGCTATACAACATCACGCTACGATCAATAGGAGCAGAGCAATAATGAAAAATGATGCGAAAACGGGATTTCACGCGTACGAAGTCGCGGGCACAGCTAGTTTTAATTATAAGCGGAAAAATGGGAAATTAAATACAAGGAATTTTGAGATTAAAAGAGACTTTCTTAGAATTCGACTTCGAACGTTCATCAAAATAGGGTTAGCGTTTAAGCTGTGGTTAAAGCTAGAAAATGTTACAGCAACTGAGGACAGACGATTAAGTAAGAAATATTATAATTCACAACAATAACTGACAAGACACTTCAACTCGTCTTGCCAGCTTAGGGAGTGTAGGTCAGATCCTCCATTATTCTTTGGTAAACTGGAGAGGTTTTGGGGAGATAAAATTACTTAATGTGATAATGATGACGATGATTTGGATTTTGGAAAGTAGTCAATATTTTGACAGGAAGAAGTCAATAAAATGTTTTGCAGTACATTTCATACATAAATTTAAGAAATTGTCGGAAGAGCCATTTCCACTCATCCCTGAATTCTGTCAGAACCTACATCCCTCTGTGTATCCTGACATTTCGTTTTTCTTTCAATGAGGGTTTTCGCGTATGAAAAATCCGCCAGATGTCAATACGTAGACGCGAGGTCCAAATGCTGCATGATTGGTTATTTTTGACATTACATTGACAGATATGTCAAAATCCACCAATCACGCAGCAGTCAGACCCCACATCCACGTCCCGCCATCTAGCGGATCTTTCATACGCGAAAACCCTCATTGCTCTATACAAATTATTTTTGGTCTACCTCTTATTTTGACCTTAAACGTTTTAAAAATGCACATCACTATAGTGACGTGCATGTGAAGGCGTGTCTACACACCAAATGTTATCTTTAGACGACAATAAATTACAATTAGGTATGTATACTAATATTAATATTAGTATGGACTTCGGATTTTTGAAGCTGGTGGTCAGATTCTAAGCTTTGCACTGTTTCATTGAACAAGTGACGTCAAATGTGGATCCATAAAAAATATGAGGAAACAGTGTTTTGAAGCTGATTTGAAGTATCTACTACTTATTACCAAAACGTAACATAAGTGGGCGGAGCATAAACTTGTAGAACTAATGGCCGTTGGAACAGAATATCAGAAAATTCCAATAATCATTATCATTTAAGTATCATTATTATTAAATACTAGCGGCCGCCTGCGACTTCGTACGCGTGGATCCCGTTTTACCCCCTTCATCTATCTTACGCGGTTTAGATATTTTCATACAAATGTTTTTTCCCGCTAACTCCCGTTCCCGTGGGAATTTTGCAATATCCTATTGTAACTAAGCTTTAAGTTTACTAAGGTACCTACATGCAAAATTTCAAGCGTCTAACTTAAGCGGTTTAGATTTTTCATACAAAAGGATTTTCCCGCTAATTACCGTTCCCGTGGGAATTTCGGGAATTCTTTGTTGTAACTAAGCTTTAAGTTTACTAAGGTACCTACATGCCAAATTTCATGCGTGTAACTTTAGCGGTTTATATTTTTCATACAAAAGGATTTTCCCGCTAATTCCTGTTCCCGTGGGAATTCCTAAGTATACTATAACCTGCCCAGGAGTATTAAGAATAATTGTACTAAGTTTCGTTAAAATTCGTCGAGTAGTTTTTGTTTCTATAAGGAACATACAGACAGACAGACAGACAGACAGAGACAGACAGACAGACAAAAATTTTACTGATTGAAGTATAGATTGGGTGGCGATCACGGACCAGAAGACATAGTGTGGACCGACGATCTGGTGAAGGTCGCGGGAATCGCCTGGATGCGGGCTGCGCAGTACCGGTTGTCGTGGAAATCCTTGGGGGAGGCCTTTGTCCAGCAGTGGACGTCTTTTAGTCGAAACTAAAGAATATCCTCGAAGTCGTAAACCCACCAGGGTTATTATTCTTCTTCTTTTCGAGTCGACAACAAACCTACCAAGTGTCAGCCCAAAACTCCGCCACAACAGTGGCGTTGTCAGTAGCACTCATCAAATCCTCAAAGGGTTATTAAAAATACCACGGTATTTCAGTCGTGTCTAGTACAACAGAATAAGTACAGTACTTTAGTATTCAAGGCACCTGATAACTACCCGGCAGAGGGAACACTCCAGGTTTTTAGTGGTGCTAGGTAAAGACTGGTAATTTTCTTGGGTTAAAAAAGGTTTCTATTTTATCCACAACGAGGAAACTCTTGGCCTGTATCTCACCTGATGGTAAGTGATGATCAGGCCGAAGGTGGAAGCGAGCTTCACCCGGAATCCTCAACCACGGAGGAACTGGCTATCTTACCGCTAACTGCTGGAACACAACAATGCTGTGAATATTATTGTTATGGCGACAGACTTAAGTAAGATAGTGGTAGCTGGCCAGGCGGACTTAGAACAAGC